TTTATAAAAATAGCAAATTAAATTTGAAAATAAATTAAAAGTACTAAAATGATTTATAACATATAATTATCAAATTAAAAATACTGGACTTAATTTTTATAGATATAAACACAATTAAATCTAAAAGAGGCTAATAACAATTATATGCAATTTTGCTTTAAAAATACTAAATAAATTTTTAAAAATGTACAAAAATTTATTTTAGCTATATTTTGGAATAAATATGAGAATCCAATAAATGAATTACCAAAATGATAATTTTGGAAATATTATTGGGTTTTTATGAATAAAATAGGGGAATAAATTGGTTTAAAAATCTTTAAAAATTAAGAGAGAAAAAAACAATTGGACATACTTATATATGCATACATATGCTATTTTGAAAGTATTTTGCATATTAAAAATATACAGGGAAAAATTGGGTATCAACAATGCGAACAGTGTGAACCTGAGGGGATCGCAAATGCCAGCCAAGATCTCGCAAATGCAAAAGCCAAACCCCCCAGCCATGCTCGCAAATGCAATGTTTCCTTCGCAAATGCGAGGCTCGCATTTGCGAGCCAGACCTCGCAATTGCGAAGTCTGCAGCAGCCACCAGAAGCACAAAGACTTAAGTTATGATACTAAGTCCAAAAACCTTTCGTAGCCTATCCGAAACTCACTTGAGCCCCCTGGGGCACCAAACTTAACATGTAAATAAGTTCAAAAATATCCTACCAACTCGCTCGCGCAATCAAATCGCTAAAATAATACCTAAACTACGAATCGGACACCAAATCAAATGAAATTTTCAATGAAACATAAGAATTTCTATTTTAACAGCCGGACGTCTGAATCACATCAAACCAGCTTCGTTTTTTTACCAAATTTTGCATATAAGTCATGAATATAGTGATGAAATATAAAAGCTCCAAAACCAAAATCCGGACCCGGTAGCAACAAAGTCAAACTTAGGTCAAAATTTTAAATTCTTTAAACCTTTAAACTTCAAATTTTGACAAAAGCGATAACTCGAGTTAGGGACCTCTGAATTCGATTCTGGGCATACGCCCAAGTCCCAAATCATGATACGGATCTATCAAGACCGTCAAAATATGGATCTGCATCCGTTTGCTCAAAACATTGACCGAAATCAACTAAGATGAACTTTTAAGGCACATATTCACATTTTATCAAATTTTCACATAAAAGCCTCTCAAAAAAAATACGGATCGTGCATGCAAATTGAGAAAGGCTTAAAGAAGCTATTGGAGGCTTCAAAATACAGAATTAAAATTTAAACTCTATATGACCTATCGGGTCATCACATAGCACCCCTAGTAATCGAAGTAAAAGAATAACAATAGGGATTCACATAGAGATTATGTCCTATTACATTCTAAAAAGAAAGTTAAACCCAACAAGGTGACAGCCTCCAAGGCAACATAAGATAATAGGTATAGACAACTTAACCTATCTAGAGGCTGGAGAAAAAGAAGGTTAGCCAGAGAACTTTATCAGTTAGAAAGTTTAAGGGTCCAATTTAAGGACTCTAATGATAATAGACTTGTAGCGCATAGGGTATCAATGTTGCCCTTATGGCAGGGCATAGTAGAGCAACAATATGAAGATTCGGAGTTAATATTATCGAAAGAGAAATTTTTGTGGCAAAGAGAGATAATGTTTGAGTTTAGGGAAATAGAGTTTTCCGATACCAGGTCGATTGTGTGTCCTAGATATAGATGATCTATGGGAAAAGCTGAGAGTGGAAGTGAATTATCCCCTCCCCCCATTATATTCATCATGATTTGAAAAGGATATACCATGGTACCAGAGACATGTATTGTTGTGCTAGTGCGACAAGAACATTGTCGAATTTTGGCACAATAAACCTAATGGTCAGGAGGTATAAATAGAGTATCAAGTCCTAGAGGGCTGATAAAGAGGATAGAGTTCCCGGTGTGGAAATGAAAGAGTAGTTCAAGGATAAAGTGCAGTATGGGTTTACACCATTCTTATTAGAAATATTACTCTAGATGGTTGATGGTCGAAAAATTTACAAGATTAACCCATTTCTTATCAAGATGGAACATTCGCACAGTCGAGAATTATACAAGTGATGAATTGAGAAGACAATATGTTTCGGGACATTCTAAAAACTATTACCTCAGATAGAAGAGTTTAGTTACAATGAACTTCTAAAGATTCTTCTAGAAATGTTTGGGTACGCAGATCGGTCTTAGCACAACTTTCCATCCGCAAACAGATGGTCAGGCCGAGCACACTATTCTGTCACTCGAGTACATGTTGCGAGATTATGTTCTAGACTTTAAAGGAAATTAAGAAGATCATCTGCCGATCATTGATTTTGCTTATAATAATAACTAACATTCCAGTATCCAGATGACACCATATGAAGCTCTATACAGGCAGAAGTACAAGTCTCTTATCGGTCGATTCGATATTGGCGAGACAAAATTAGTTGGCCCTGATTTTGTGCAACAAGACGTAGAGAAGGTGAAAGCGATTCAAGATCATTTGTTGACCGTTCAGAGCCGACAAAAGTCCTACTCTAATAACCGATATCGAGACTTAAAGTTTGCTGTGGGAAGCTAGTATTCTTGTAAGTGTCATCTATGAAAGGAGTGATAAGGTCAGGCAAGAGAGGAAAAGTTAGACCCTACTATATCAGACCATATCAGATTATCCAAAAAATCGGCCAAGTATCTTATAAGCTTGAGGTGTCCCCAGAATTGGAAGCAATTCATCTAGTGTTTCTTGTATCCATACTTCGTAAGTGCTTGGGTGACCCCTCCCACATTACCCCATTGAGGATGTCCAGGTCACAGAAGACCTATCCTATGAGGAAATTTCAGTAGTTATCCTAGATCGCCAAGTTCGTAAGTTACAAACCAAAGAGGTGGATTCAGTTAAGGTACTTTAGAGGAACAACAATGTAGAGGAAATTACATGGGAAGCTGAAGAGGATATGAAATCCACATATCCTCATTTGTTTTAGACTGCAAGTTTATATCGACACTTGCATGATACAGTTTCATTACTCTTAAATTACTTATCGAGCTTAATTCACATATCTTCTTTAGGTGATAACGCTGACACAAATATGGAAGGCACAACATAGAGTACAATGGATGATAGTTGAGGCGAGTCATGGCTAACCCTTTTTTTATTTGTTTTACATAAATAGACAGTCATGTGAGGCCAATTGAATGTTATTATGCTATTTTCTAGCCCCGTCTGGCATTGTTTGTATATTTGGGCTGCTTACCAATTTTCAGATAGCCCTATTTACAAAGAAAACTTTTCCAAAAAAAAAATTTAAAAATCGTGGGAGTTAGATTATTATTCAATATTCGAGGATGAATGTTCCTAAGGGGGATTATGTTAACCCACATACTTTTGACGTCAATTGCATTGTTAATTAAATAAAGTAAGTCTGGAGCGTTTAAGATCTCTCCAAAAGTTTAAGAGAGGTTTATTGAGATGATAAGTAAGTTTCATAAGAATTCAGAGTTGTACGAATTAAAAAAATACTTTTCGACGAAGTTCGCCAAAGGGAAGTGGATTGTCATAGCCGTACTTTTGGGGAAAGAATAAGAGTGCTTAACATGACAATAAGGTCTTTTTATAATTTATTTAAATCATATAATAATTGTATGTTAAGTTTTGAAGTCAAGTAAGTTGTAAAATAAAAATTTTGTAAAAGTTGTCGCAAGATACATTTATAATCTTACTGAAATTTTGATCTAATGTCACTGAGCTTTTCTATCATATTGAATTATAGGGTGATCCACCCGCCAATTTGAAGCTCTAAGAGTCTAGTTTTAACGCATTAAACTGTTTGTCGATACGATATTTGAATAGAGAGATATTCGCAGTTTTGTGAGACTACACAAGTAGCTCCCTATGATACCCACTCTGGAAGGTGAAAATATTTAGATATATACCAAATGCCCACAACCCATTTTCATTCGTATTTTTTTACTATTTCCAGACCCAAAACACTCCCAAACACTCTCTATGAGTTCTCATATGATCCAAGGCCAAAATCAAAGGCTACCAAGTGAATCCAACCCCAAGAATCTCGTGGTGCTAGCTAAGAGTAGCTCTAGTGCGTTGTGGTGACGTTGAAGGTTGGTCTAAGTGAGAGTAAACTCATGTTTCGATCTGACCTTGTTGATTGAGGTAAGATATTACTTCCTCCATATTTTCTTGTGCTTGTAAAAGCCATGGCTAAGTTATAAGATTGAAAACCCGTGAGGTAAAGCCCGAAAATCATAGTTATGTTTGGTTATCTAGTATGGGACAGTTTTCAAGATTTTTAAAGGTTTGTTGTGACAGGAAAATTGGTGCAGTAGCTTGTGTAGGTTGTTGTTGCTGCTATGGACATAAGAAAATGTCTTAGAATTATAGTTCGTTAATCGTAAAACCAAGCTTGCGGCTCGTTATGATTGTTGAATTGTTTAAAGAGCTTGTTGAGAATGTTATTGTTGTTGAGCCGCTCGTTTGAATATTGGTAGTTAATGAATAAGGAAAATAAGGAGATAAATTAGAGTTGAAAAGGTTATATTGTTTTTGAGTTTCCATTGTTAAAGACTATGGAAGTTCTATGTACGCAAAGTGTCCGATGAAATGTCTAAATGAAACTAATAGTTTATTGAGTTGCTATTGATCCAAATCATTCGTATGATGTAGATTGCCGTTCATTAAGCGTTCGAGTACTTATTGTTGACATATGATTTTTGTCCCTCCCCAAATTTTTCACATTTTAGCACATAAATATTTAATTTAGCCTTAATGTAGCTATTTCAGCTTATTTTGACTCTTTTACTTTATTTTCGTCACAAAAATGAAAATTACAAAAAATATATATAAATTTTAGTTTATTTATTTCTCATAAACTTTAAAAAATACAAAAAATAGTACTTTATATTTTTATCTTTATATATATATATATATATATAACGAAAATTGTAAAAAATAGTTTAATTAATGTGCTGTAGCTTTTTTTTTTAAAAAAAAAACTTGGAAAAATATAAAAATAGTTTCATTTTAATTGTCAGTCTTATGTTTATAGTTATTTTGCTTATGTAGGATTAATTAAATAAATTCATGTTTTCGTTCTCGGTTCCGGGCAAAGAATAATATTCGGGTTCAAACGACCCATTTTTAGGCCTAATTTTCGAACCTAGCCTCCGAGCCCACCACACGTGGGGGACACAGACAAAACACAAGAACATGGGCACATGGACAAAGTAACGTGGGAAGGCTTTTAAAATTGGACCACTTAGATTTAAGAGAAAAAAAAAAGAAAAAGCATATAAAAACACCCTACATTTACATATACACGGATGAGCACATGAAAGGGGGGACTTAGACATTTTTTTTTTGAAAAAAGAAAGGGAAGACCACTACTGTTGGTCTTCTTCTCCATTTTTGAAGAAGAAGAAAAAACCACCACGACCATAACTCCACCTCCTTCACGTCTCAAAACCACCACTGCCCGTCACCGAAAAAATCGTCCAACGACCACCCTTCCACCTCCAGCAACCACCATCGCCCTAGCTTCCTCTCCGTCTCACGACCACCATCAACAGCCCACCATCCCTCACGAACCAGAAGCAACATCGTCAACCAAACAGTCCGTCGACCACCCTATCCTCCAGCCAGCGAGCTCCAGCTCCACCAAAACAGCCATCGCTGCTGCGCCATCACCTTCCTCGTCGTCCACCCAGACCACCCTCATCGTCGCCATAGACTCCCTCCGTTCGTCGCTACATCCGTCAACCGGACGAGCTCAACCTCACTATCGAGCAACCAGATCGTCCCCGTCATCCTTCTTCTAGTCGACAACCAATCAACCAGCCCCACGACCACCGGAGCCCCGTCGAGCAGCAGCTGTTGCTGCTGCTATTGCTTCACGTTCTTCTCCTTCGAACACCATAACACCAGCCCCCAGGTCTCTAACCAATCAGCCCAGTTGTCGATGTTTCTTCACTGTCGTCGCGCAGTTCGTCTGAGGTCGTCGTTTGAGTTGTGCTCGTGGTTTCCGGTCTAAGATCTTTGAGCTTGACATCGAGGTTTCAAGGTTCCGTCGTTGGAGAGGTTTCCGATAGTTGTCGGTCCAGTTTGGTTGTTGTTCTTGCTTCAAACAGGTGCATACACATTTCTAACTTGTGATATTTGCTTAAATGGAATGAAAATGGCATGGATTTCCTATGAACTGTTTGTGTGCCGTCTTTGTTGAATTGCTTTTGATTTTACCATGGATATTATTACCTATTAGAATTGTTGGTCCATATTTGTTTAACCTCGGATGACTTCATTGTTATTTTGTTTATTTCGTTTTTCCTTTGAATTTTGTCTTATAAGATATGTTCAACAAAATGGGTACATGAAAGAAATAAGTTGCTGGATTTAGATTATAGCTTAACTATTAGTCTTCATGATTTAATTGTTAGTTTAATCTATAATGATTGCTTTACAATAGTCACAAAGTTTATATAAAAGAATAACGAACACCTAGTATACTTTTAGGCGCGCCTTTAATTTATTATCGTGATTACGGGTACGGTTCCCGTGACGTAGTTGTGATGCTTAATTTCTAAATTCGAGGGTGCATTTCATGTGACCCGGCTTCAATTTCGAACAAGGTTAAATAAAGCGTGTCGTGAACCACAGGTGCTATGGTTTGAGATGTTTTAAATAACCTTGAATTTTTTCGAAATATTAAAAGCTATTAAAATAATAACACCCTTTTTGCTTTAACTTTTGTTTTAACTTTAACTTTTGCTTTAGCTTTAACTTTTGCTTTTGCTTTAACTTTTGCTTTTGTTTTCCCTTTAAGCTTTAACTTTTGCTTTTGGCTTTAGCTTTAGTTTAAACATATGTACAACATGTGCCTATTGTTATTTGAAGTATTTTTAAGTTTGTTGTCAGACGAGCTTCGCCAAAAAAGTGCACAAACCGCGGGGCTCTCATAAATGTATATATTAAAAATACTTAGAATACGGGATGAGCCGTCTAGCGAACTTCACGGCTTTCCCCAAAGATAATAACGCATTAGACTCTTTAAGCGCGATTTTAATTAAATTACATTCTTAAATTCGGATGCGCATTTCTGTGACCCAAATCCAAATCTCAACGGAGTCGGAATGTATTAACAACCACGGGTGCATTGATTGCGACATGGTTCGAGATGCATTTTCACGACGTTGCGATTCTATTAAAAAATAATAATAAAAGCGGTTTAAACTTAATAAAAGCTCACAAGTTATAACATGTATTAAAATCAGATATTTAGCCATTATAATAATTTAAGCGACCGTGCTAGAACCACGAGATCTGTGGGTGCCTAATACCTTCCCTCAGGTCAACGGAATTCCTTACTTAGAATTTCTGGTTCGCAGACTTCATTTGGAAAGTCGAATATTTTCCTCGAATTGGGATTCAAGATAAACCGGTGACTTGGGACACCAAAAGCCAAACCTTTCCCAAGCGGCAACTCTGAATTAAATAAATAATCTCATTTCGAATATTGTCACTTAAATTGGAAAAACTCCCTCACGCATTTACCCTTCGGGGTAGGCGCGCAAAAAGGAGGGAGGTGTGACACTTATGAGATATCGACACAAGTTATGTAAGGCTATTTTTTTCTTGGCATGACTTGATGTAAATATTCCCTTTGAAATAATCTTCGTATCGTAGGATTGAATAGTCTTAAGTCTTCCTGACAAAAGATTGATCATGTTCTTATGTATTTCCTTCCGATGGCATTCTTCCGGATTCATGATATATGTATATATATATATTCTATCAAGTCGTGCTATACTCAGTCGGGTACGATACCTATTATGCAACTACTAATCAGTTGGGTATTATTGAGTCCTCTTTGAGGACGAGTACATTATAATATGACGTGAGACATTACCGAGTCCTATTAAGACCGGGTATGACCGAGTCCTCTTTGAGGCCGGGTACGATATGTTATAACATAAATTGCCCGAGAGAGTGACTTGATACTATATTATATGGACATGTTGAGTGTCTTGATTTTTACAGACATGCATATATATCTATGGTTGTGATAGTGTATGCTCTCAAAGGCTTGTTATGAGTTTCAAGTTGACTTTTGTACTCTTCCTTCGTATTTTATCTTCTATTTATGTGATTTACCTGCATTACATATTCAGTACGTAATTCGTACTAACAACCCCTTGTTGGGCGTTATGTTTCATGCCTGCAGATACAAATAGTGATTCAAGCCATACTTCACAATATGTGACTCAACTTAGGTGAAGGTTGTCACGCTCCTTTCTTTCAGAGTTGTTCAGTGAGCTGGCAGGTATGATTGTTTCATATATGTACATAGTTGGGTATGGCGGGGCCCTGTACCGATCTTATGACGTTTATGTACTTCTTAGAGGCTTGTAGATAGAGGTTATGCGTATTGATGGTCATGGCGGCCTTTTTGGCCCATTTACGCATACTAGCATGGTTATGGATGCACATTATATTGGTGCTCGGTGAGGTAGGCTCGAGTTCCCGTCATGCCCCTCTGGTTTGGGGTGTGACAAACTCCCCGTCAAAACTATGAACTATACAATTCTTCAAATTGCCAACTTACAACAAATAGAGCCAAAATCTTCTAGAAGTATCCAAATTTGAATTCGAACATACATCTAAGTCTAAAATCACCATACAAACCTATTGGAATCATCAAATCACCAATTCGAGGTTATTTGCTTAAAAGTCAAACTTAGTCAACTCTTCCAAATTGAGAGTCACTCTATCAAATCCATCCCGAACCACTCAAAAATCAAAATCAACCATGCACGCAGGTTATAATATACTGTATGAACTCACTTGAAGTCTCAAATCATAGACGAGATGCTAGAACTCATCGGTCGGGTCGTTATACTCTTCGTGATTAAACCCTGCATAAATATTACATACCTACTATTTGCTAAACTATTTCCTGCATAACTAATCCTATATAGCAAAACCCTTGCATAACTCTAACTAGGAATCAAACGACCCCTAAGTGTATAATGTATAATTAATGTATATTCAGAATTATATGTTTATTACACAATTTATTCGCACGAGTGTACACTACTACACAATATTCTCATCGAGGGCAGAGGAATGTGTACCAAAGCGGTGTCATCCAACATCGCTTCGTTGGAAATTTTAATTACTTATTTAAATAATATGCAATAAAACCAATTATATCCATAATTTAATATAACAAATTAGTCCGAAGGCTCCTTTGGTTCAGTGGTCAAGCGCTTTGTTGCCTCAGTGGAGGTTACAAGATTGAATCTCAACCTTAGTCTTATTTGTTTTGTAAATCTTTTAGCTGAGTTTTAAAAAAAATTAGTGTTCATAAAGAATTGAACTCTTGATCTTGTCATGAGAAAAAGTTAATTAAAGCAACTATCCAAACTTCCTTCTTGTTTTTTTACAGAAATTTATAACTACAAATTTATCAAGGAGAAAAGTTACTTCAATGTCATAAAGTTGAATCAAACCTCTGAAAATCTACTCTTCGTCCAAGCGATTTGTAATTTTGGACGTGTTGGCTTGTTATTGTTGCTTTGCATCTCTCCCGCTCATCATTTGTCCCATTTTTTTTAATTTTTTTTTTACTTTTTAAATATCCATATATCTTACCAAATATACATATACCCCTTATCCCCATCCATTATGATGGTCATTGCGAGTCTTTTTTCCTTAACATATGTTTTTCGTTTTGTCTTGATGGTGATGGATGATGGATGATGGTAGGTTATGGGGATCTTTTGTGAGGAAAAATAGTGAGAAAGACAACAAATGAATGGTTGGTAGTTTTTTTTTTTTTTATTTGGTTATTGTTGATTGAAATTAGAGTATCTGAAACAAAGGAGGTGGTGAAATAAGATTTTTTTTTTTTTTTTTTTTTTTTTTTTTTTTTTTTTGGAGGTTTTGTCTTGTTTAGTGAGGGAAAAAAAAGAAGGATAGGAGGGGCTAATAGTGATCGGCAATATCTAGGGGTGGCATGTGGCCGGTCTGGGCCCTAAACGGGCCAAGTAGACGGGTCTCGTGGACCGCGGTCCCGGGCTGATCCCTAAATAAACGGGCTTAGCGGTCCCAAACTAAACGATCTTTTTGTAGGAATCGGCCGGGGACCGAGCCCACGAACTCATGGTCCAGGGATAAACGGGGCGTGCCCGCGGGCTAAGTGGGCCCAACGGCTAAATATTGATTTAAAAAAAAATAATTAATAGAAATTAGAGACAAAAAGATGTTAAAAAAATATCTAAGACAATGCCTTGTAAATTTATTATAGAATTGTGACCTAAATTTTTTAATTCAAATTTAAGGACGAAAATATTGTAAAGAGATATTCAAAGCAATGCCTTGTAATTTTATTTTAGCATTAAAAAAATATGGCAATATCTTTCTTAGTCTTCCTCCCCCCTATGGAATGAGCACAACAAGGTGCTAATACCACCATTGAGAAGAAAAAGAAACTAATCAAGATGTGTCAAAATACAAGTTACATAATACATACTAATTTTTGATCATATAAGTTACATGGTATCTCTTACAAATTTCATAAATCCTTCAAGGTCCAGAGAGATTTCCGTTGGTGGTGGCGGGAAAGTAGCTTGGTCATTGCCGCTTCCATTGTCGGGCGAAGCAGCATCCTCCACAAGTTCAGCTAGCATTTCTTCATAAGTTTTGTCTTCCTCTGGTTGTGATTCAACAAGTCTGAAATTTCTTCTTTCCGAACGGATCCAATCTCTGAAAAGTACTGATTTTTCCAAGCTTTCCCTTATAGACGCTCTATAATCACTGATTTGAAGTCTTGCTTGACTGAAAGCACTCTCCGATGCCACAGTTGAAGCTTGAATAGTTAAAATGTCTCGGGCCATCCTTGAAAGAACGAGAAAGTGTTTTTCTTTGTCCTTCCACCATTGTAAAAGATTAAAGGAGCCGTCAGGATTTACTTCCTCAATTTGCTGTGACAAATAAATTTCAAGGTCATTTATTTATGAAAATTCGTTACTACTAGAACCAAAAGAACCCCTAAACTCCTCCCAAGCACTAAGTGCTCTTACTCCCGCAATTCTTTTAGGAGATTGGGAATCAGAAGAAGAAGGAGTTGGAACATTTGGTCTAGCATTATTTAATGCAACTTGATAAGCATTATAAATAGTTTGAGCATTTATTCTAATTGAGGCTATTGCTTCCGGAAGTTTAGGCAACTCATCATCTTCAAGTGCTAAACCATTATAAAACAGTTTCATACCAAAATTGAGGACCTCCTAATTTCATACAAGGATTTAACAAAGCAGCAACACCATAAATAGGGGAATAGGGAAAAAATATTTTTTAAACTTTTTTCTCATAGAATCAATAGAAAGTTTATAAATTTCCCTAACCTTTAAAAAATAAGCAAACAAATTTGCATGTTCTACAATATGAAGTAAACAGTTAGAAATAACAGCAACAACAACAACCTAGTGAAATTTCACTAGTGGGGTCTGGGGAGGGTACTGTGTACGCTGACCTTACCCTTACACCAAAAAGGTAGAGAGACTGTTTTCGAAAGACCCTCCGCTCAAGAGGACAAAAAACAAAAGAAGACAATATCGGTATCACCATACAAATGATCGGAAAAATACGAACAACATGAAATCCAGAAGAAAGATGCAAAGCAAAAGCAATAGCGAGTAAATATGTCTGGCACTGAAAAGCGAAATAGTAAGACACGACATTGCCACTAGCTATATTAGACAAAAACCCTACCAGACTAGACTCACAACGTTACGAAGTAAGGCAAGAATCAACTACCTCCTAACCTACAACCCTAATACTCGATCTTCACATCTTCCTATCAAGTGCCATGTCCTAAAAAATCTAAAGTCTCGCCATGTCCTGCCTGATCACCTCTCCCCAATACTTCTTAGGCCGCCCGCTACCTCTTCTCGTTCCCTCCACAACCAGCTGCTCACAACTCCTTACCGGGGCATCTAGGCTTCTCCTCTGTACATGCCCGAACCATTTGAGTCTCGCTTCCCGCATATTGTCATCAATGGGAGCCACACACACCTTCTCCCGAATATCATCATTCCTAATCTTATCCATCCTAGTGTGCCCGCACATCCACCTTAACATCCTCATTTATACTACTTTCATCTTCTAGATATGTGAGTTCTTAACAAGCCAACACTTAGCCCCGCACATCATGGCCGGTCTAACTACCGTTTTATAAAACTTACCTTTGAGTATTAGTGGCACTCTCTTGTCACACAGGACTCCAGATGCTAACCTCTACTTCATCCATCCTACCCTAATACGATGTGTGACATTCTCGTCGACCCCCCCCCCAGATAAACGACCCAAGGTACTTGAAGATGCCTCTACTTGGGATGACCTATGAGTCAAGCTTCACATTCACTCCCTCTTCCCCCGGCTCAACACTGAACTTACACACCAGATATTTCGTCTTCGTCCTGCTTAGCTTGAACCCTTAGACTCAATAGCTTGTCTCCAAACCTCCAGCCTCTCGTTAATACTGGCTCACGATTCATTAATCATAACTATGTCATCGGCGAATAGCATGCACCATGGCACCTCCCCTTGAATATGGTGTGTTAACGCGTCCATCACTAGGGCGAATAAGAATGAACTTAGCGTAGATCCTTGGTGTAACCCCATATCAACCGGAAAGTGCTCAGAGTCACCTCCTACTATCCTTACCCGAGTTTTAGCCCCATCATACATGTCCTTAATCGCCATAATGTAGGGAACTGACACACCTTTTGCCTCCAAGCATTTCCAGAGAACTTCTCTAGGAACCTTGTCATACGCTTTCTCTAGGTTAATAAACACCATGTGCAGGTCCTTCTTCCTATCTTTGTACTATTCCACTAACCGCCTAACACGGTGTATAGCTTCTATAGTAGAACGACACGACATGAACCTGAATTGGTTGTCGGATACAGACACTGACATCCTCACCCTCGCTTCAACCATTCTCTCCCATACTTTCATGGTATGACTCAATAATTTGATACCCCTATAATTGTTACAACTCTGGATATCACCTTTGTTCTTATAAAATGGAACCACCATACTCCACCTCCACTCATTCGGCATCCTCTTCGCCTTAAAAATAACACTGAAGAACCCAGTCAACCACTTCAAACCTGCTTTCCCTACATATTTCCAAAATTCCACCGGAATCTCATTAGACCCGGTCACTCTGCCCCTACCCATCTTACTCATAGCTCCCACGACCTCCTCAACATTGATACCCCTGCAGTACCCAAAGTCACGGTCTCTCGAAATGCT